GGTAGAGGTTGTGGTGGGGGGGGGGGGGGGGGATGGGAAGGTTTTGCACTATCTCCCCTACCTTTCAGTGCTGTGGGAATGGTAGACATTCCTCTACATGGCCACCTGTGCAGTGTGTCTTCCTAGGGTTTGTGGTTCTCGTGTATGTACTGGTCTTCCACGTCTCCAGGGGACCTGGCAGAAAGAGCTGGTCACTTTAACAACCTGTTGCCTTCTGCCTGCAACCTTTGTAACTTGATCAAATAAAAACCTTAACGAGAAGAGACTTGTTTCTGTGCCCCAGTGTTTGTGCTGCAACCCCTCAGCATGTGTACAGTCACTGGTAGCTCAGCAAAGCCAAACTTAAACTGAAGAGCCCTAATAGGAGTCAGATGGCCAGCTCTGTTTAAGTGCTCTGCATTGCTGGGGTTGGAGGATGCACAGTGATGAAGACAGTGCTGCCTATAGCACTTAGGAGTCCCAGGTGCTCTCCCAGCCATGTACTAGCCAGGCTTGATCTAATGCATTCAGTCCAGCAGGACTGTCCCTGTGCACCAAGTTAATTTGCAGGAATCATCTGCAGGTAAGTAGCTGCCAGCTGCTGGTCTTCACTGTGTAGCAGTAAGTAAAAGCAGGGGGGGAATGCCCCTCAGCGTGGTGCTTTGCACCACAGGCACCCAAATCCAGTGGTTACAGCTGTGCTGAGTATCCAGCCCCAGCTGTGCCATGTAACTCTGGACAAATCCCTTTCCTTCTCTGTGTCTGCTTTCTCATCTGTATCAAGGTATCCTGTTCTCCCTCACCTTTCTCCAGTATTATGAGGGATACAGTGTGGTCTTCTCCAGGGCTTGTACTGTCCTTGCTGCTGCAGCTAACAAGGGTGATGAGTCAGACCCTCTCCCTTTCTCCATAGCAGTCACATCCTTGCCTCATTCCCTCAAAGCTTTTGGAACTGCTTCTGCATACACCAAGGCTATGTTTGGCCCATTACCTCATGCTTTTCTTTTAAACAAAGCAAAGCCCCAAGCCTTGCAAAATCAGCAGCGATTCAAGGAAGCGGGTTCAGCTGAACATGGTAGCAAAATCCATCTGTCTCCACCTTCCCTGTCCTGGGGGCACATGAGAGCCTGTCCTTGACGTGTGCTCCCCTCAATGCCAGAACAGTCGGGACTTTTCTGCTTGTAGCCAACATGTCTGGTGTTGATAAAGCAGAGACTGCCTGCAAATAGCCCAGTCCATAAATGGCATGAATTCCTTGTGGGTTGGGTTGTGGGGATCAGCAGAGCTTCAGCCCTTTCCCAGTGCCAGGTCTTTTAATTATCTAGTAAAATGTGAAGCCCATGTTGTACGGGCCAAGCCTAGTCTAATGAGGCCATTACTAACCACCAGGCCCAGCCACCATCTGAACAGCCAAGCTGGAGTATGACCTACTGCTCACAGGGGGTGCTGATGGCACAGGTAGGGGAGCCTGGACACACCTATAGCTGTGTGCGCATCTTTCTGTCCAGCATATCCTACACATCCTCCTCCTGTGTTCTCCCACTGGACAGCAGAGCGTATAGCACACAGGAGCCTAGAATAATGGCTCTGATCACACAGTGCAGGCTGTACCCATCATGGGGGCAGTTATGTCTATACAAAAGGTGGTGAGAAAGGTCAACTTATCCCGTGTCATACCATAGGCCTCGGTGGCAGAGAAAGGCAGTAGCTTGTTCTTTTGTGAAATCCCAGGAGAAAAACCAAGCAGAGTCAATGATCAAAGCCAGTTTGTGCCTTTTGACCCCCTATTTGTCTCTGGGGAGGCTGCTACCTTTGCAGGGCAGAGGAGAAAACAAAGGCTGCCTGATTGCTATTGTACAAGCATTCAATGCAAGTTATTTGGAGTATATTCAGAAGCAGATTATGGGTGGGGGCTGGGGGGGAGTGATTTTGGTGAAAGGGGTCCAGTTGACATCTCCGACAGAATGTCCCTGTCAACCTCAAGACTGTCCATCTTGGTGGTTCTGAGCTTAAATCACCCCCTTTTCATGAAGCCTGACCACTTTCACCCAAGAGCCATCTGCAATACTCAGGGGTCATCTCCCCCAGAATCAGTCCAGCCCATCCCAACCTCTGCCTTCCCACGCTGGGTCTAGGCTGCCTTAGAAGTGCTCCAAACCATGTGCTGTCTTTGTGGGAGAAAAAACAAGCCCACTTACATCACTCCATGACCTCAAGCACTGCAGAGATAGGGAGTCCATTCTCCGAGAGGCCTCCTGTGCTTATTGCTCCAGGCTGGGAGCCTGAGTGAGGGGGCTCTCACATGATTGCAGCTTATGACTTACTTGTGAATAAGGAAACTACTGAACTTCCCAGCTGCTCTTTTTCAGAGCAGTTTCCCTGCAGAAGGAAAACAAAGTTCTGTGCGATCAAATGCACATATTATTGATGACACTTTTTCTTTCGTGGCTCTTCCTTTTGATTTTAGCCAGTGGCTGCATGCAGCCAGGAGAAGGTTTATATTAGTATCTTTTAAAAGCGAGGAACATGGATGTTTGTCTGCAACTCTTCTGCTGTTGCTGCAGACAAGAGGAGCCAGAAAAAAATCCACTCATCAGGTATTAGTATTATTATTATTTATTTCTCAGTGTAGCATCTAGGACTGGCTGAGCATGGAGGCTCTATACTGGGTACTAAGTGAGGCAGGCCATTCTTTGAAGAAGTGGATGAGAAAGGCAAGATTATTTTGCTTGTAAAGAAGGGGGAACTGAGGCACAGGGAGAGGAAGTGGCTTGTTTAAGATCCTACAGGGAGGATGATTGTGGTAGGAATGGGTGCTAAGCAGGGCTACAAGCATGAAGCTACTCTCTGTTCTCAGGTGTGTGAATTTGGTGTCTGTCATACAAGTTTGTCTCCAGGGGTCCTGGCTTTTGGCAAGAGTAGGGCACCTTTCCTGGCTGGAACTCATCTAGACTAATTATAGCCTGCCTCTATTGCAGCTCCCAACCATCCCACAGGAGACTAGCACATTTTCTCTTTCATCACCTGTACTGAACTGGTTGTAGAATAGTGTTTGTTGCAGCATGCTGAACACTATGCAGCGCTCCACCCGTCAGCCCGATTTCCATGACCCTGGTGTGAAATATTTGGTGTGAAGCCTTCATAGTCCCATGAGAAAAAAAGATGTGGGGTCCGAACAGGTGCTAACATGCAAGTTGTGGAAGGTACTAAAGTCCCTGGGAGATGGGTGCCCATGGCAGCATAAGCTGTAAATGGTCTTTTTTCCCCCCTCCCTCCTTTGTGGGTAAGGGGTTCTGGATAACCAGAAGGGAGCTAGTCATAATGCACCCCAATGATGGAGAAATAATACACCTGAAATTGCTATCTGCTCCCCTTCCCCACCCCCCAGCACCCCCATGGCTGGCTGGAAGGCAAATCAGGGATTCCCTATAAACATCAAAATGGGCTCCCCTTCCAAAACCCCTGGTGCCAGAGCTTCCCAGTTTAGGGTACCTCAGTCTGAAATACCCCTGCTGCCCACCTCTAGCTGCCCTCTCTTGCTGAGACTCTGTGCCAGGCCCCTGCCACCTCAGTGCTCCCTCCCTGCTTGTCCTTCAGATGTGTGGGTTATGGAGTGACTCTTGGAGCACTCGCCCCACTTCCTGCCCACTCAAGCCTGGGTATTCTTTCCCCAGGGCACACAACACTGGGGCAATTAATTGTAGGAGAGGGGCTCTTTTTCTCCTTGGTTTTTAACTCTGATTAGGAGCAGGGGGCTGAGTTCAATGAATGTGCCCCTACTGGATGGGCTTATACGCATCTACAGCACCCCTACCTGGACAGGTGTATAGCTTTCCACTACACATGCTCTTCATGCCCCTAACTTAATCATCTGTTGACTGCATTAACCATTTGCAATCCCTTTACCAGAGAGTTATTACTATACTATGTGCCTGATGGTTCCTTGTTCCCTGCTCTGCTGGGTGACAGTGGCCCCCACTTGCCCTGGAGCTAGGTCATTCCAGCCACTAGCCTCAGGATTGTGTGCATTCCTGTGTGTGGAAGCTCAGTCCCAGCCCCAAGGATGGGGCAGGAGCAGGGTGGGGGGGATGGATGTAGGCCATGGCAGTGATGGGGTCTCTCCTTTCGTAGGAGTGAGACGCTCCAGTACTTCAACCAGCTGGTGAAGCGCAAACGGGCTGAGGCCACCAACCTGTGGAACGAGCCCGTGGATGCCACCCACATGGAGCGGGATGATGACCGGGAGCTCTACAACCTGCTGCAGAAGCGGGCCAAGCTTCGCCGGGGGTCAGAGGTCGGTGCCCCTACCCCCATCTGTCTGGGGCCCTCCCCCAGGCTGTGGGACTTGCCTGTATCTCCTGTGGGAGATCATTCATTCTCTGCCTGTGTGCTTGGTACTGGACCTGGGCAGGATTTCGGGGTTCTATTTCTGGGGGATATGGCCTGGTGCAAGTCACTCTTGGGTTTCCCCCCTCCTCAACCTGCAGGTTATGAGCTCAGGGCGGGCGCTTGCCCTCACTCTGTGTGCAGCTTCCAGCACAGTGGGGCTCTGAGGCTCTATTTAGCCTTGTAGGTGCTGCTGGAGCACACTAAACAATAATTTTCCCACCAAAAAGTGGCTGTGAGAGAAGAAATAAGGCCAGGGGGAAGGACTGTGGTGGGATCCATGGGGTCTTGCCCAAACTGCTGCATCTCCAGAGCACTGGAGTGTTTTGGCCTTCTCTATGCCTCTCTTTTCCAAGTGGGAAAACTGAGGCATGGAAGCACTGTGGCTTCTCACACAGCAGAGTAAGAGCTGGGGTTAGATGCCAGGAGTCCCAGCACTCGGCTGTCCTTGCTCAATGACACTGGATGCAACCCAGCTGATTCCCAGACCCATCCCTCCTGTTCTAACTTGCTGGACACCATGCTGCTCCTAAAGACAGGATGCAACCCCCTGCTCCACACCCCCTTCTGTAACCACTGGATATGCTCTCCAAAGCATCACTGTCCCATCCACCTCCCATGGGTTTCCTAGTGTGTGGGGCCATCACCTGGCAGTTGTTGCTGGATAGAGAAGGCAGTAGGTGAGGTTTGCCATGTGGAGAGGGCGCTGTAGTCTGACACTCAGCTCTGTCCCCCTCTGCTGCAGGGGTACCGGCGCCTGAGCTTTGACATCAGTGCCCACCGGCAGATCCGCCGCGAGGTGAAGGACCGGTGGAAGCACATCCTGGAGGCCTTAGGTATGGACACAAGCTTGGTCAAGGGAGCTGGGGGCAGCTGGACAGCTCTGCCCTCCCTCCTGATTCAGATGCCAGTAGTTAGGGCACCCCCTGAAGCCGTGGTGCACATGGGCTGGGCTGGGCTGTGCCTTTGCTCCCAGAAGGTAGCCCTTTGGGCTGGGGGTCATCCTCTCCTCATCCATGCCCTGTGCTAGGCCCCTGGGATGCCAGCATGACCCCTTGATGGTTGAGGGGATGGAGGGTTAGGATGAGGAGCATGGTAGAGGTGTGCATGGGCAATACTTCCAGCAGAGGGTTGTCCTTGCCCTCCCTTTCCTGGGTGCCACCTCTGTAGAGAGCTTGGTCCAGACAGAGGGCAGAACCTAGGGAGAGGTATGGTCTGCCAGTGGCATTTGAGCCCCTTCCAGCTGGTGGTAGAAGAAGGTTTTTACCTCCCTGATACGCTGCACGGTGCTAACAGGGGCCCTCTCTCCTCCCAACCGGGCAGGGTTCAGCGCCGAGGCAGATGGCCTGCTCACCGTCACCTCCACCATGTCCTACAGCTCCCTGCGTCACCCACAGCAAGCCCGTGCCCTGCTCACCACACTGGCCACAGAGACCAGCCTCTTTGACCGCCACTGCAGCCCCCCGGAGAGATACCTCTTTGTCCTGGTATGTGCGTGGGGAGGGGGCTGCTCCTCGAGGCTTGGAGGGGAGAAGCTAACCAAATGGCTGATGCTTCCACCCCCCCTGCCCTGACTCTTGGGAGTAGCTGGAAAGCTGGGACCCCCCTGTCTTCACTGCCATCCCTGCTCTAAATCCCCTTGGGGGTGCAGGGGGATCCCGAGTCATCACTGTGGGCAGCCTGGCTGGGCCCATACAGCCAGCCCTGCCCGCCACCAGCTCCCGTTAGATCTTGGCCCCCCTGTTGCCTGGGCTCCACAGTGCCCTGCAGCCCCTGCTCTGCCCTCTGCCACCCTCGCTGTGTTGCCCTCGCCAGGACCGGCTCGTTGTCCTCGACGTTGGTGATGACTTTCTCTCTGCGGCCCGGCGCTATTACCCACTGGAGGAAGACGAGGCCCCACACAGTGAGGAGGAGCCCCTCAGTGAGGAGGCCATCTTGGTGACGCTAAGCCCAGGGCCTGAGCTGCCCAAGGAGGTGGAGGAGGAAGAAGAGGAGGAGGAGGAGATGGCTGAGGAGGTGGATGAAGACACCCTGCTGGCCACGCTGATGGAGTGAGGCCTGTGTGTGGGCAGCAGTGGGCATTATGGCTGAGGCTGAGAGCTGTCACCTCAGATCCTACTGTGGCAGGGTGCCCGGCAAGGAGTGGTGAGTGCCCCTCCAGCTGCAAAGGGGCCAGATGGCAGCTCAGACCCTCTCCTGCCCTCTCCCCATGCACAGATTCCCCCCGCACAATGATCCCCCCTCCCAGCCCTGCAGATCCCAATTTTGTGGTTGTCAGTCAGCAGGTGCTGGGGGGGAGGGAGGGAAGAGCATGACCACCTTGCACTTTCCCATCCTGCTAAATTGGAGAGTGGGAGAGCTCCTTGGAAACTGGGAGGTGGTTGCCCAGGGTGCTTGTTGGTTGGAGAAGGTTAGGATCTCCCCACCCAGCCTTCCTCCAGCACAGCCAAACCCATCAAAAAATTCAGTGCAACAGGTTCACTGCTGGCCCCTGCTAGCACTGAAATGCAGCTACTTCTGGGGTGGAATGAGCCAGCTGGCTGTCAATAGCTGTTTTGGAAGTGAAGAACATCTTAGCCAGGGTGCAGCAGTGACCGGATAAAAGCTTTGAACCTTCCTTTCTTGTTGGTGTTGATTCTTTGGGTTATCAGCACTCAGCAGCCCCAGTCCAAGCCAAAATGGCCTGTAGTGACTTGTACTGGCGTTACTGGGAGCAGAGGTGGAGACTCTGCTCTTGTATGGGAGAGGTCGTTCTGCCAGTGACCTGCAGCTTGCAGGAGGCCTTGCCCCATTCCTGAAGCATAATGGTAGGTGTTACCTGCAAGGGACAGTCACACCCATGAAGTAGGATAGGTGACTGCAGCTGGACTAAGGGCTGGCACATGTATTGAACTGGACAAGGTGGAGGCAGGCACCATTCTATTAAGCTACCTAAAGTGGTAAGGTTTGCTGGTTCCCCAGGTCTGCTGTTCACACCAGGAAAATAATCCCTGGGGGTTTTATTCCTGAGTTTTTCATCATTTCTCCAGGGGACCTCATGGCTTTTTCAGATGCCAAATCAATCACCTGTCCCTACCTCTACCTCTACCATGACAGTCCTTTCCCAGCCACCTTCTCTTGCCCTCCACCCATCTGCCCCAACTCTGCCATTTCTTACTAAGGCAGCTCCTTGAATCTTCTGGCCCTGGTTTATGTCCTTCCCCACCAAAGTTATGCCAAGGCTGTTCTGGGTTCAGTCTGCCTCCCAGCACAGTCCATGCCCTTTCCGGCCGACCCAGGTGTCTGCCTACTCTCCTCTTCTGGGGCTATAGAGCTTTGCAGTACAGCCGTCCTGCCTCTGATACCCCCTTTGCTATATTTCCCCCACCTGTTGTATGTTGTCAGTAAACCTCAGCTGTGAGGGTTCAAAGAGGGTATTGGAGCCATCCACTGCCCATGTGCATAAAGAGCCTGGAAAAAGCTCGCCTTCCTACCCCCCATCCCTTCACATTTCCTCTCACTGGAGCCCAACAGGGATTAGCCACAGAAAAGGCCCAGGAGCAAATGGAACCAGAGGGGCAGCCAGAGCTGGCAGCAACGCCATAGGCTGGCATCAGTTGATGTCTCCGAGCCAGGGGATTTAGATGGGCTCAGTTCTAATCAGCCTGCCCCCTCCCCGCGCACTCCACCCCCCATCCCACTCATCTTGGCTCCAGGGACCTGTTAGCAGTTAACAAGTCTCTAAATCAGTTTGTTTACTGTCCCCTCATCTCCCTCGATTGCTGCCAATGCAACTAGAGTTTCAAAGCAAAAGACTCCCTTACTAGGCTATGGCTGGATTGCACGGGGGATTGGGGGGGCATTCTACACAGCTCTGCTATAGGTCTCTGTGATGAGGGCAGTGTGTGTGTGTGTGGGGGGGCATTGTCTGCTTGGTTTAGCAGCAATGGAGGGGGGGGTCCTCTATTTTGGCAAGGGATGGGGGGACACTATCTGGAAGGCAGCCAGTTGAGATCACAAACAGCAGCTTGCCCCCCCTGGCCTGAGAAAAATCATTCATGCTGTGGGCAAGAGCCTCGGGAAGCAGGCTGGGCCGCAGCCCTTGGGCCACAAAGCAGCTGTGAGATCAGGAGGAGGTGGAGGGGGCAGATGAGGCCAGGCTGGGCACCAACCACTTGGCAAAGGGGTCCTTCCTGAGGGCACTGGGAATTGAGAAGAGGCAGGGTCTGCTCAGCTGGGTGCTTATCATGTTCCCCAGCCCTGTGGTCAATGTGACACTGTGCCTGACCCAGCTCAGCTACAGATGGCCCTCAGCTCCAGTCCAGTCCTGCTTAACGAGGTGCATTAGCTGGCCTGTCCTTGCCACAACCCCTCTGGCTCCTAGTTCCACCCCCACCCCCAGCATGTCAGAGCTGGGCACGGGGCTCTTCATGTAGTGGCCAGGAGCTGAATGGCCCCTGTGAGTATGAGCCCAGGTGCTGCTCCATCCAGCTGCTGTGCTGTGGGCTTGGAGGACTTTTACTTGGCTCAGCACCACGGAGCTCAGGTCTCAATGCCCTTGCTTCTTATTAACAGCAGGGACAGGCTGGGGGAATGTGGAGGATGCATGAACTGAGATCCCTGCCAGCCTGTCCCAGTTCCACCTCTCCCTCCACAGGCAGGTGCACATGCACATGTGTGTGCTTACAGGCAGGGTTTACCTTATGGCAGTAGGTTCTGCATGGGCCCCACTCTTGACCAGAAAGCCTAGGGCTGAAATGGATGGCTGCCAGTTGCACTGCTGATGTGCTCAGCATTGGTCCCTGGGGAACTCTGAGGGAAGAGCCGGGAAGTGAGGTGGCAGCTGCTTCTGCACAGGGGATGGGATGTAACTTAGCACCACTTTGTGGGGAAAGGGCCAGCCAGCGGCCTTGCTATATAATCAGGCTTTCAGGCAGGTCTTGGAACTCTTTTACCCCATGAGTGGAAAATCAGCTGATGGGCTGGGCCAGTCAGTGGGTGCATTTCCATAGGGATCAGCCTGCAGCCCATGGGATTAAAGGGGATTTTGGAAGCACAAGTGCAGCAACAGCTGCCCTGCACCCTCCAGCATTCATTCACATGCACTGCTTTCACACTCTCCTCCCAACCTTGGTTGCGGTTTGGACATGGCAGCCTGATGGCTTTGACCTGTGGGGGGAGTGACAGGGGCAGACAGGGTTACGGGGATCAAGCATCTTCTCCTGACAAACATTGTTTGCACCCCATTTTGGTGTTGAGGGAGGAGCTGGGATCTGCCCCATGGATGGCCTGTGCCAGGGCAGTGGAAAGCAGAAATCCTGGGCAGCTAGGGCAACACTGGGCCTGGGAGTGAGTGGGGTCTGGGCCTGGGGTCAAGCAGGGCTGTTAACAGAATGGCTGGTGTTCTGGGCTAACCCAGGTGTTCCTGATGGATGGCATCAAGGGGTCAGTGAGTGCCAGGCAGTGAGGACATCCCTGGTCCATGCTCCAGCCCTGCTGGAGGGAAGAGACCCATGTGGGACTGCTGTCTACCCCAACTCATGGGATAGGAGAGGTGCAGAGAAAATGTCTAGGAGCAGGAACTTGCTGGAATCTTCCCACAGACCAGTGTGACATGCACACACACACACACACACACACACACACACACATATGCAGGCATGCATCATCACACATTTCCCCCAAGCACCTGCTCGTGCCAAGGGGGCCTTGGCTTCAGTCCATGCAACATGTACATGCTGTGCCAGTGACACCTCCTGAAATAGCAGTGGGGAGGCTATATATGCCCAGCCTGGGCAGCCAAATCCCACAGGCTGAGGCACACACACACCTGCCAGAGGAGCAGGCTCTGGACACAGCCATGTTTGGCAAGAGCGTGGTGCTGCGCAGTGCAGGGCTGCTGTCGGCAGCTGAGCTGGGTTGCCTGGTGCAGGAGGAGGACATGGGACGGAAGGAGTCCTTCCAGGCCGAGTGGAAGGACCTGTCGCTCTTCACCAGGCCCGAAGAGCGGTGAGTGATGATGATGAAACAGGCTCCCCAGGTTTGGGGGGTGGGCACCAGCATTGCTGCAGCCCCTTCTTGGCCAAAGGCATCTTGCCAACAGGGCTGAAGGGAAGCCTGGGACCCTTTGTGGAAATGGGGCCAAGGGTCCTGGAGCAATGTGTGGCCCTGCCTCAGCCCCTCCAAGGTGCCCAGATAGTCATAGGCAGAGGGTCATGGCCCCTGGGCAGAGCAGTGCCCAGTGCTCAGCATCTCCCCCAGCCCAGCCCCCTGTGTCTGCCTCTTTCCCCTTGTTCCTTGGCAGGCCTTTGGCCTCTCCCCACTCCAGGAGGTGCACCACCTCCCAAGTGGGAGGGGGAATGGGGAGGTTCATATCCAGTTTGGCCCCATCTCCCTGCCCCAGCACAGCTCTGCCACCTGCTCAGCTGGGGGCAGAAAGGATCTAAGTGTCTGCTCCTTCCCTGGCACTGACAGTCACCACTTTGGGTCCTGGGACTTGTCTGGGTTCCCTGGCTTGGGGAAGTGTGTGTGTGTGGGGGGGCATGCCCTGCTGGGCTGTGCCCACAGCTCCCTAATGCTGCCCCCTCCCCTCAGCTGCTCCCGGCAGGAGGTGGATGACCAGCACAAGGAGACATTCTGGCAGCAGCAGGAGACGCGCATCGTGGTGCAGCGGTCACCTTGGCAGGTGCTACGGCTGGGCCGCCTGGGTGAGCCCCTGGCCCAGTACCACCTGCCATACCAGCGGGTCCTGCCCCTGCCCATCTTCACGCCAACAGACCTGAGTGCCAAGGCCGAGCGGATGGCCACCCCTCCCCAGCTGCATGATATGCTGGACTTCGAGGAGGCGCTGGCCGGGGGTACCCAGGCCAATGGGCTTTGCCCAGACAAGACAGCCGTGGCCGAGATCACCAAGGAGCTGCCTCCTGTCATCCCACCCAGCCGGCCCAGCTTTGGCAAGGGTGGCCTGCCCCGCTCCCTGTCCCGCTCCCTGTCCCAGGAGGCCCAGAGGGGCTGAGGATCTGGTACATAGACTTTCCTTTAGGGCTCTGTTTTCCCAGTTTATGGCTCCCTCTGCATGAGAAATACCCACAGGCCCTAGTGTGCTGGGACACATGGTTATTAGACAGGCCCGTTGTGGAGCAAATCCATCCCTAGTGTGAGCTCAGTGAGGCTATGCCATGGCTGCATTAGGCTTGTTGAGTTAGACTGTATGCTCTTTGGGGCAGGGACCATGCCAAGTTTGTCTGACACCTTGCATGCCAATGATTGCTCATATAATCAGGCTGTCTCTTTAAAGACTGTCTTCCTGGAGGGGTTGTCAATCAGCTGTCACAATGGCTGATAGATTTAGCTTCATGGAGCAGGGGACCTTTCCAAGAGACATTACTGCTCTTGGGCCCCCAGCTAGGTGAGGGCTAGTGTTTGGAGCAGTTGATTGCAAGCCTGGACAGTGAGAGGAGTGTGTGTTGGTATTTGGAGCCGGGGGAAGCTGGGAATTGGGACCCTTGGGTTCTAGCCTCAGCCTGGTGAAGGCAATACAGGCTAATGGCTAGAGCAGGTGCCTGAGTCAGAAGAGAGTGAGTGGCTGTTGGGAAGGGAGTGCTGTCCAGTAGTTGGAGAGGCTGATAGGACTCCTCTTCCCTGCTGTGCTCCTGACCTGCTGTGTCACTAGGATCACCTCCCCCTTCCTAAACTGGAGCCTTTCTTTTGGATGGAGTGAATTCCCCTGGGCAGAACAGAGGCTGCTTTTACTGCCGTAGGGTGGGGTAGCTAAGGGTACTGGAGGAGGTCAAAGGGTTCAGAGGTAGGGGTGAGCTGGGATACAGGGCTCACTGCAGCACTAAGGAGAGAGGCTCCAGAGGGCAGAAAGTGGGTGAGCTTGGTGCTCCTTCCAGCAGCTTTTGATTCTGGGGAGGAACCTGCTGCACATGTCTCTGTTGTTCATTGTTTTCCCCTGTTTCCATCCAGGATCACATTCTATGAGTCTCATTGAATAATAAAATAAGAAAAGGCTGAGTGAGTCCTTCTGTTTCACTGTGGGACCTGCTCTGGGTTGGGGACACACCCCAGAAGGATCAAAACCCAGGCAGGCCAGGCAAACACTTCCAGCACCTGGCCCCTTTGCCACTGGGACTTCATGCACAGAGGCAGGACACGGATGTCTTAGGAGTGGGGAACCCAGAACTTCCCCTGGGGAACCTGACCCCCTCCCCCTTAGCTGGACAGCAGCAAATGTTGAGACTCTGCCACCTCCTTCCTGCCAGTGGGGGGAGGAATCAGCAAGGTGGACTCTGAGTAGTTCCTTGGTGTGTCTTGCTTGTGTTTACTATATGGACCATCCTAGTCTCAGCACACAAGCCAGCCACTGGGCCAGCAGTCTTAGCCTACACACACACCTGGCTTCCAGGGAGAAACTCAACCCCTAGAACTGACTTCACTCAGAGATGAAGGAAGAAAGCAAACTCCCGCTGCTGGCTACAGCACCCCACTGGGGGATGTGCATCACAGACTGACAACCCAGCAGTTCTACAGCCTGGAAAAGATCTTGGAAGCCATAGATCTTGTACAGCACAATCTGGTGGCTCCTGCTGGCATAACAGACCCTTTGGATTGATGTTGGGTCCTTTGCCAACAGCCCTGTGGTTTCCTGCATAGCACAGGCATGAGCAAAGCCCATGTCCTCGCACAGGGCTGAGACAGTAGGACCTGGTCACAGGTGTCTTCCAGCTGAGTAGAAAGAGCGCTGCAGCAACAGCTGCCAGAAGCTACTCTTTTATCCTCTTTGATGCCTGCTCTTTGGTGCTCCAGCTTAGAGCTGTATGTCCAGCGCTATTCGGCAGGGTTGGGATGCAGGACTCCTAGGTCCAACTGTCAGAGCCCCTCCTGCCCTCACAATGAGCAGTATCAGGTTGTATTGAGGACCCACAAAGATCCGGCCTGGAGGCCTGTTCTTCATGCAGATGCCCTGAAGAGAAGCCCCCTTCCCTTTGGCTCTGCACTAGGGCTGTCCTTCTTCCCCTGGGCTGGGAAGGAGGAGGTAGGTATGGGACATGCTGCCTCCAGGACCTTTCCAGCACTTGGAGACCCCAGGGCAGCTCCCCTGGCAGACTGTAGTTTGCTACCTTTGGGGGGGGCAGCATAAGGGAACTCAGGTATCCTGTTCCACCCTTTTCACTACCTCTCCCCAACCCGGAAGAGCTCCAAATGACCCACCCAGGCCTGGACTTAGTACCAAGTAGAGCTTTGTCATGGAGCGGGGCAGGGGGGGTGTTAAGGGAGAGGGTGTGATGGGGGCAGGGAGGAGGATGAAACCCACAATGTGTGGGGGGGAAGGTACAACCAGGTGTGTTTGGGGGGGTGAGAATGGGGTGATGCCCAGTGTGTGCAGGGCTGGGGGGAGGGAGGGGAACTGGCCTAGCCTTCCTGACCTCAGCTCAGGGGTGAAGGGGGGGATTGACCCCCTTCTTCCCCTTATGCTTCCCAGCCATGGGCAGCACAGCCTTTCTGGGGAGCCCCCACGCACTGGTCTCTCCATCCCTGCTGTGTCCCAAGGGCGCTGGGAGGGCAAGCAGGGCAGGGCTGGCTGCCAGGGAGCTGGGAACAGATGGCCAGGGAGGGGGCACATAGCCAGGGAACAGTGTGCTCAGGCCAGGACAGTACAGCTAATCTGGGGCTTGAGGCCTGTGCCTGGTCTCCCTGTACCTCCCTCCTCCACCCTTCCCTCCACAGGGCTGGGCACTCGGACAAGATACAGGATTTGCCATTATTCAGGTGGTGATGCAGTTACATAAGCCAGACAGCTGGCTTTGCTGGTGCCCATCCAGCCTCATTATTGGGTCCAGGCTCTTCCTGGCCCTCACTGCTGTCCTTAATGCATGTCTTCTCAGCCAGTGGCAACACCCACCCCCACCCTGGCAGGTATGCCAACCCAAGAACCCCCATAACCCACCCTGCACAGGGCTGGGAGGGTGAGGGGAGGCAGAACCATTGCCTCCTACAGAGCCCAGGACACTGTCCTGGCCAATTCTGCCCCAGCGTTGGGAGGGGAGTGGAGTCCAGTGGCTAGAGCAGGGGTGGGAGCTAAGTGCAGGGACTCCTAGGTTCTGTCCTGGTGTCTAGGGACAAAAATTACACATAAACTGTTTTAAGTGATCAGAAACTGGTTTAAAATAAACCTGGTTGAATGTAGTATATCAGATTTAACTGATTTGGGTCAAACTGGTTTATGAAACTTCTGTCCCAGACCCCTTCCTTGTTCAAGTTAAATCACAGTTCCTCAGCATCCCAGCATGCTTTCCAACCCTGGGCTGGGCTGTCTGCTCCTAGCTGGAACAGTGAGGATTGGCTAGTGAGGAAGGTTCAGGGGGGCAAACCCAGGTGGAGATGCAGCCCAGTCTAGGTGGAGGGAACTGCCCTCCCAGGCAAACCCTAGCTGGGGTCTGGGGCCAGGGAGAGGGGGTTAAACACCCCTTCCCTGCTCAAACTTACTGCTGGCTGCAACTGTAGACTACAAATCCCAGAAGCACCTAGAAGCAGGAAGAGGAAGTCATGACCATGAGCAACCAACCCTGCAGAGTCCTACTGTTATGAGCCTGGACTGTAAATCCCAGAGACCTTGGGGGCAGCAGGAAGAGGTAGTGAACACACAGCCAGAGAGCCTGCTTTAGTGGCTTCCAGCTTCTCGCCTGAGCCACTGCAGGCACATGGCTGCATTTCGAGAATCAAAGGTAAATGTGTGTTTACTTCTGTTTCAATTTAACCTCTGCAGCTTAGACTAACCTGCAAAGACTGAATCAATTCAGTCTTGGGCTTTTTGACTGTTTGCACTAGCTCTGCCCTCCTGCCTGCAGCATGGGTGTGTGAGGTTGTATGGGGATACACCCTCACACAGACTGTTTATGGCCTTGGCATAGTTCTGTTTCTAGGAAAGGAGCAGGTGGTGGCCTCTAGAAAGAGAGGGGATTGCAGTGGGCATCAGCACTGCCCTGACCCTACTGGACATGTGAGCTGGCCCACATGTGGAAGGCACCCCAGGCTCCCCGCATGGTCCTAAGGCTGTTTGTTTGCCTGACAGTGCTGGGTGACTAGTGACTGCATGGCTCAGCCCAGCAGAGGCTGGGCATCAGCAGTGCTCAGGGCAGAAGAGAGCTCAGTGCTGAGAGTGCTATTAGCCTAGCCATGATGACCCCAGGGCTGGGCTAGCAGGGGGCTGTGGGCTGGGAGTGAAGGGCATCAGCAGAGCTGAGGGAAATGGGACACTTCTACAGTCCCTGCCTGCAGGCACGTGGCTGGATTGAGCTGCCTGGATTGAGCTGCCCTATGAGCACGTTGTAGGCCCGGTGCTGTTATCTAACAGCAAGGCTGCATAGGGAATTGTGGGAAGAGGACATGGCACCTTTAAAAATAACAGACTGGCAGTCGGCAGTGTCACACACAGGTCTGTGCTTATCTTGCCAGCTGCTTCTGTTTACACCCATAGTACCCCCCATGCCTATGGCAGGATGCCAAGCCTGTGGGGACTGCTTTGGACAGCAGATGCCTGGCTGGGTTATATTTAGGCAGAGCAGACTATTGTGGATGGGATGAGCTGGAGTCTCCTTATGGATCCAGGGCCCCCAGCTGGGGAAGGCCTGAGTCATGCCTTGGTAGCCCAGCAAGTGGATCTACGTCCCCCCTCCATGCTGGGCTCCTGGGTGGTGGAGAGCTGGAGTTCATGTCACCAGGACTGGGCCTCTGCTGCTAAAAAAAAAAAGCCACCTCCCCCTTCCAAGCTGAAGGACCCACTCCCTGAGTTGCCCAGTGGCAAGCTGTTCACTCGGCTCTTCTGCAAACTGGCCACTAGAGGGAAACAAGGAGCCCTGCTGGTCTGCCCCTGGGTTACCCTGCTTCTGGGGTGGGCAGCAGGGTACAAGGTGGGTGATGCCCCCTGACAGACTGAAGTCTGCCATTCCCCAGGCCTTGTGCATCAGGACCTTGGTTCAAAGCCCCCTCTATATTTGGTGCAGATTCAGCAGTTTTGCCTCTGAGCAGGGCATTCTGGGACAGCCAGAGCCCTGTTACTGGAGGCTGTAGGGGCAGATAAGAGGCAGCTGGGTTATAGGGACTAGCAGGCCTGTCCCACTGCTGTTAATAAATCAGGGAGCAGTGCTGCCAGCTGAAACCCCAGAGAAACCAAGCTGGCAGGGCCACCCCTATCAACACCAACCCACAAAACTGCTCACCTGAGTTAGAGATGCACTGGCTGGGAGGGGAGCAGCTGAGAAGGCAACCAAGCTCCCCCACCCTTTGCCCCTGGGCAGAGGGCTCCCTGCAACTTCACTTCCCCAGAGCAGCATCTCATCCCAGATGGGACTTGAACCCACAACCTTCATGTTGATGATCAGAAGCTGAGCCATGAGGGGGCTTCTCAGCCCTTGCCCGGCTCTTTAGATGAGAGGGGAAGGTGTAGAACAGCAGAGCTTACCCAGCAGGACCTGCTCTTGGTAAGTCCCCCCAGGCCTGGGCTTTTCCCTGCTCCCCATCAGGGACTATACTGAGGTCCTGGGGCCAATGTGCTGGGGAGTGACTGTCTCCCACACAGCTGCAGCCTCAACAGTCATCTCAGCCTGTGTCCTTTCAAAGGGATTGGGCCCTTTGGGCTGCTGCAGCCCATCTTGGGAGGAGCTGGAGGTCTCGTACCACAGAGGTCTTGCAACAGTGACAGAACAAGAAAGAACGGGAGGAACCTGAGGCACTGTGAGGGGAGCTGACCTGGCTGAGGCAGGGCAGGGGCTGAACTGGGTGCAGAACCCAGGCGTCCTGGTTCCCAATCCCCGGCTCCAAGCACTTGATTCTCTCCCAACCTGTGTATGGAGCCCGGGTGTCCTGTCTCCCAAGCTCTGGTTACACAATTCATGGTGCTGAAACTACATGAGGACTGTAGTTGCTCCTTCTGGCACAGACTTCAGCTGTGCCAGATGAAACCCCAGAGAAACCAAGCTGGCAGGGCCACCCTTATCAGAACGTGGCTGCTCCCTCTGCCCCCGCAGCCCGACCTTCCTCTGACCCCAGCCACAAGTGCTCTGGACTCCACTGCCTTTCCCTGGCTCCCCTTACTCTCCTTGGGCCACAGTGCGTTCCAGCCAGCCCTGCTCCCAGTATCCCAGGCCCTGTGGATCTCCTGGCTGCCAGGACAGATCTCACTCCTCCCCCAGCTCTCTCCCCAGCTTCAGAAGCAGGTTCAAGGAGGTTCTCCCACCCCCAGCCAGCATGGCTTTTTCACCTCAGCCCAATTCTGTCTTTTTTTCCAAAGCCTCAACAAAGTGATGGGGTGGGGAGAGTCAGGCACAGCCCTGGGCCCTTCCATACTACAGCTGTCTGTGCTCTGACCAGGAGGGGGAACAGGGGGTTTATAACTGAGCCAGGCACCAGCCCTGACCAGACCTGGCTGCTTGGGTTATGCTCAGTGCAGAGGTGCACCTGCCCCTACCCAACCCTTTCCCTTGCTTGGTTACAGCAGGGATCACGTGTCTCTAAGGAATGAGCAGAGCAAGGACTTGGAAGTTTATTATTATACAAAGAATTTTAGTGCAATACAATATTGGAATTTTATTGCAATATAAAAACCAGTTCCATGGACAGACACCCCCACCCATGGATGTGACAATAGGCAGGGCCCTTTCCCCCAGAATGAGCCTGCGTTAAGCACCTACTGTACCCCTCCCACCTCAACCCATCTCAGCGGCATCCACATCAGCCCTAACCTGCTCCTCCCCACCAGACTGGTTTTAAAGGGCTCCCTGCCCCATGGGTTACACGGTCAGTGGAACCTCGCCTATGGAGGGGACTGGCATTTCCATCCTTCCCACTCGTGCCTGGTCTGGAAGAGCCTCTGCTGCACTGTCCTTCCCTGCAGGGGCCTATCACTTGCCCCAATCATGGCCTAGTTTTCCCTTCACCATCATTCACATACCATTGCCATCTCTGCCCTGCTCCAGCTGGGAGTGTCTGTCTTTTGGGCCCTTACCCCATGGCCCATAAGAAGAGACTGAGGTTGGGCCAGTGGGTGGTGGGAAATATCTCCTCCACCTCCCCTGCATATGGGGAGACACAAGAGCAGGGATCCTGGCACCTTCCCCTCCCACCAAGGGACTCAAGTGTTAACCCCTGACTCACATGGAGCAGCTGAGCATCCCCACAGCTTACCCCTGGGGAAATTGAGTCATAGACAGGGGGAGTGCCTGAGGGGGAGTTGGGTGAAAAGCTGGGTGGAGAACCTAAAACTCTTGAAGATCCTTCCAGTTTAACCACTAGACAATGCTCCTCTCCCACATATGGGACAAGAACCCAGGAGTCCTGGCTCCTAGCCACCCCATCACTAACCACTTAACCACACACATCTGGGAAGAGTCCTCTGAAATCCTTTAATCACCTTATTTCTACCCCAGAATGCAGAACAGACCCAGGCTTCTGAATCCACTCTCCCCTTACCTTGCCCTAACCACTACCAACCCTGCCTCCCCATAGCACCATGCCCCTACGGTTTGCTGAGCATGCCAGATCCCAGCCCCCTTGCCTGACTCCTAGCCTGACTCCCCCCACCTCGTAAAACCCCTGGCAACTAAGGAAAGCAGCAAAGCGTGGTAAAGGGCGCCTGGGGAAAAATGCCCTGTGCCTGCAGCAGGGCACAATTCACCCTGGCACCCAGGGAACCACCCAGGGTCCTCCATAGACACAGCTCTAACACATACAGGATGACACATCTGCCTGCAGGCAGCACTAGCTCTAGAGTTCTTCCTAGCTGGAAGCTGATGCCCTCTGGCTGGGGGTGCCCCCCAGATCTTCAGCCCCTCTGGGCATCCTGGGACATGGAGCGGGACAGGGAGCAGGGCAGGCCGCCCTTGCCAAAGCTGGGCCGGCTGGGCTGGATGACAGGGGGCAGCTCCTTGGTGATCTCGGCCACACCCGTCTTGTTTGGGCAAAGCCCATTGGCCTGGGTACCCCTGGCCAGTGCCTCCTCAAAGTCCAGCATGTTGCGCAGCTGGGGTGGGGTGGCCATCCGCTCGGCCTTAGCACTCAGGTCTGTTGGCGTGAAGATGGGCAGGGGCAGGACCCGCTGGTATCTGGTGTGTCGGGGGCCAGGGCTCCACCCAGGCGGCCCAGCCGTAGCACCTGCCAAGGTGATCGTTGCACCACGATGCGCGTCTCCTGCTGCTGCCAGAATGTCTCCTTGTGCCGGTCATTCACCTCCCGCCGGGAGCAGCTGGAGGGAAGAGGCAGCATTAGGGAGCTGTGGGCACAGCCCAGTGGGGCAAACCTCCCCCACCCCCTTCCCCAAGCCAGGGAACCCAGAAGAACCCCAGGACCCAAAGCGGTGACTGTCAGTGCCAGGGCAGGGGCAGCAGGTAGCAGAGCTGTGCTGGGGCAGGGAGATGGGGACAAAGGGGGTGTGATACTTGCCATTCCCCACTCCCACCTCCAGGGGAGAGGAGAGGGTGGGGGTCTACCCAGGAACAAGGGGAAAGAGGCAGACACAGGGGGATGGGCTGGGCTAGGCTGTGGGGGATACTGAGAGCAAGGTGCAGTGCTCTGCCCAGTGGATGTGACTCCCTCCCTGGGGCTGGCTGAGCATCATGGAAGGGGCTGAGGCAGGGCTACACTTTGCTTCTGAACCCTAGGCCACATCTCCACAGAGGCTCCCAGGGCTCCCTTCAGCCCTGTTAGTGAGATGCCTTTGGCCAAGAGGGGGCCACAGAGATGCTGGTACCTCCCCCCTGCCCCCCAACTTGGTGAGCCCATGCCATCACTCACCCCTTTTCGGGCCTGGTGGAGAGCGACAGGTCCTTCCACTCGGCCTGGAAGGACTCCTTCCGTCCCATGTCCTCCTCCCGCACCAGGCAGCCCAGCTCGGCTGCCGACAGCAGCCCTGCGCTGCGCAGCACCACGCTTTTGCCAAACATGGCTGTGTCCAGAGCCTGCTCCTCTGCCAGGTGTGTGTGCGCCTCCAGCCTGTGGGATTCAGCTACCCAGCCTGGGCATATATAGCCTCCCTGCTGCTATTTCTGATACCTGTGGCGTAAGGGGCTATATCTGTCCTGCACAGTCACTCTCCAGTGCTCCGGACACGGGACACTGCCTCAGTCTGTGTGTTACTGGAAACCCCCCACCCCCACTAGGGCTCCCATGAGACGTCAATATTTATACTCTTGCTAGCCCCTTCCCTCATGCAGCCTTTGGAAAGTCGAGGGGCTAATGCTGGGCCTCTCCGGACTGTGGAGCTTTGCAGGACTGTTCCTTTGCCTTTAAGAGCATGAGCCATTCTGCTCTGCTCTGCTCAGCACACAGGGAGAACTCAGGAGTCCTGGCTACCAACCCCTACCCTGCTCCCCCTCTCTTTACTCACAGCAATAACTCAAGACTTCTTTCCCACCAACATCCCCTAATCCTCTAGATGCTACTACTTTCCCTAAGCCACAGGCAGAACCTAGGAGGCCTGAGCCAGTCCAATCTCACTGCTCTAACACAGCAACCCTGCACCCCATTCAGAGCAGAGAATAGAACCCAGGAGTCCTGACTCCTAGCCCTCCACCCGCTCTCCCCTGTAGCTCTCAATGCTAAAAACTAGACCTGCGCTGAAAGGAAGTGAGCCAACTGTTAACCCCGGGGCCCCAGTACAGTCCAGATGCACACACAGAGGAGTGGAATCAGTGGGAGCTGAGAGCCCCATCCATGGCTGCAGGGGATCAGGTGCCATACAGCCCTGGTCTCCTAACAGGGCAGCACACCCAGCAGCTGCCCACTGTGTTACACCCTGTTGTTTGCAAAGGGGCATTGCTGCTGTAAATGCCTGTTATCCCACTTCACCCCCATGCCTGTGTGCCAGGGCTCCCCCTTCTCCCCCCCAACACACTTAGGGCCAATACCACACCTCCCCTAGGGAACACCTTGCTAAGGTAGCTGATAAGCCCAGGTGCTCAGTGGTAGGGCAGCTTCTGGGGGCTGAGACCCACCAAACTCAGCTCGCCCGTGGCTTAAGTCAAAGGCCAGGAGAAGATAAGCCAGGCACGCCAGGCCATGAAAAGGAAGTGGGAGCACGTGGAAAACTGAAGGAGGGAGAGGGGGTGGTGAAGGCAGGTTGGGTTTCTCATTGACGGGCTGGATTGGGCACCTGGCCTGGGCTGTGGAGTTGACGGCCTGCTGCTTGCTGGGCTTGGGGGATTAGTTCATCCCGAAACCTGACCCTGCTGTTCCTCATCCAGCAGCCCTCAGCTGGGGAGCAAGGGGCCCCACGCTCTGCAGGGAACAGATGAAGAGCATCCTGAGCTCTGCCTGGGGACGTCATGTGGAAAACATCCCCTCAGCTGGGATAGAATGTACTAGGACACCCAAAATGCCCTCCCACACTGGAAGGGAACATGTGAGTATATGTATGTGTGCATGCGTGCGTATACATGCACACATGCGCGTATATGGAGCTTCCCTGGATGACAGGGCTCCCTGGCGAAGGGGTGCTGTAGCTCATGACTGACTCATATTTCCAGCTCAGAGCTTCAGGACTCAGTGCAGGGGATTTACGTCCAGAAGGTGGGTAGAAACTAGTGCGGCGATTCTTAACCAGGGTGCCACAGCATTGTAGGGGCACTACCAGATTCTTTGAAGGGTGTCTCAAAGTGTGAGATGATAAAGGAGGTATGAGGAGATAAGCAGATAAGGGCAGGCTCAGGTTTGTTCCTGCCTGAGCAATCCCCTATGCCCACAGCCTGGCCCCTCTGCAAGGAGGTAAGCACTAATAGACATAGATTAGTTTTTGAAATTGGACGCCACTCAGTTCACAAATGATATGGAGGGGTGCCTTGTGGCCAAAGAAGTTGAAAACCACTGAACTAATGTCTGGAAAAAGGGACCTGGGAGCTAGAAAACCTGGGTTCCCTACCCAGTTCTGGGAGGAGGAAAGATCTAGTGGTAGAAGAGGCAGGCTAGGATTCAAGACTCCTGCCTTCTAGTCCTAGGTCGGAGAGGTGAAACTAGCAGTTACAGTAGGGGACTGGGCACTGGGGCTCTAGGTCCTGCTCTGAGGAAGGGGAAAGGGAAAGGGAGATAGTAGCAACCGGACCATTTCTCTACCAGGTCCACAGAAATCTCCTGTTCCTTTCAGGCTTCAGGTTTACATTTTCTTCCTGAAAAAGCTCATTTCCAACACTTTTCTTCCAAGGCTGGCTGATGTTTTGGAGAGGGAGGCAGTTACAAGTGGAACCCCTCACAGACCCACCTCTGGCATGGATCTCGCCAATGGCTTGAACACTACAGCCTGGCTCAGGAGACTACTCTGCAGGCCCGAGTCCAGTCTAATCACGTTGCTGTTACTGGGACACCGGAGTCAACACCTGGGGTCTGGCAGGAAGGGCTGTGGAATCTCAAGGGGCTTCTTCAGGGCACATGTGTACACCTCCACCCCGGCCAGGAGCACCCACTCCCTAGGTAGCAGCCCAATGCAATGGAAAACAGCTGCTGCATGGGGTTTGCCTCATGCTACTCTAAGTCTAGGGTGTGCCAATGGCCACCAATCCATGCACAGCTCTTCTGGTGGCCCTGGGGCACTCTCCTGGCATTTGCCAAGGAGAAAGTGAGCAGAGTGTGTGTTCATGGCAGTCCTCTCAAGCCTGATCAGAGATGGTATAGACCAGGGGTGGCCAACCTGTGGCACAAATGGCACAGGCAGCCTTTGTGTGTGGCACGCAGCAGATCAGGGAGTGGACAGGCAACACAGAGGCAGAAAACAGAGCAGCAGATCAGTCAGGGACAGCCGGGCAGGGAGCAGAAAGCAGAGCAGCAAGTCAGGCAGAGGAAGGGGATCAGAGTAGCACTTGAGGAGGGTACAGGACTAATTTGTGACACTCCTGCAAAAAAGATTGGCCCCCACTGAAAGAGACCCACTCCAAGTGGCTTCCTGCCCTCAGTAAGAAGATAACAGACTGAGCAGGCCAGGGAGAACATGAACCGGCTGACTCCATCTGGTCTGGGTTAGTGGATGGCAACTCCAGCTCTGTGGTTTAGCAGACAGTTCTGGGGGTCTGCAGATCCAGACTCTTCCCTCAGCAGTGAATTCACGTGGCAGGAGGTGGTGGACCTTCGACTATCCCTGTCCCAGTAGCCTCCTCCTCCCACAACAGACAGCACTGAAAGCAACCACCCCTGGCCCTGCCCCAAAACAGCCAGCTACTAGCTAATCAAAATGCATTTTTCACCCCCTGCCAAGCCTGGCTCAGCTGGGATCGCTCCCTTTTAATGGCCTTTCGCTGACATAATTTATGGGCTGAAAAGCCTTTTCCAAAACAGCCTGAAAGCATGTGGGGCTGATAACCTGTTCCAGGCCTCGTGTTATCTAGCTGCGCAGAGATATTTCACAGCCACAATTGACAGGGCACTCATGGCTCTCCCCTCCACTCCCCGCTAACTCCATTACTGTCTTGGTTTGCATTCAGCTGGTCCAATTAGCCCTTTCCCGTCAAATGCAAAAGGTTGGGGGTGGGGGGTTGCAAAGGAGATTGGGCTGCCCAATGGGATTATTGGAGAGGAGCATTTGTGGGTTCCTCCCTGTTTCAGGGGCCGAAATGAGCTAGGAGGCTGAGAGTGATGAGGAGAAGCAGGCAAGGCCCTGGGACAGGTTTCCCCCTCCCACACTGGCAGCACCAGATCCCAGTGCCCTGAACTGGTGCTGGGAGTGGTGCTAGTTGCAAGCTCAGCCCCAGTACAGGCAGCACTAAGGAGACCCAGAAGAATGACAAGGGGCTTGTCCCATGTGTGTAAACAGGGAGGCACTCCTGTAGGGCAAGGCACTGCAGACAGGCCAGAATTTGGGCTCAGGTGTGTTTGATGCACGGAGGCTGGAATCTGGGGCTGTCATAAAGCCACCGGGTGGTTAGGGGCAGTGGAAATTTCTGGTCATGAGTGGCCTGGAGCAATGGAGCTGAGGGGTCAGGGGGCAACCAGAAGGGACTGAGGAGGATCAGCAAAACTGTTGGGGGTGAATCCCAGGACTGGGATGGCAAGAGGGATAGTAACTGGGAATGAGGGGCATCAGCAGAGCTGAGTGGGGGACACCATGGCTGGGCTTGCAGTAGGGGAGGGGGCCACTGAGCCAGGACAGAGCAGCCTTAGCAAAATCTACCCCCCCCGTTCTCACAAGCATCCAATTCATTTGCAAAGAAATTGTACTAATTACCAACCAAGCCCGAAGCAGCTGGAGAGCTGTGTCTGGAGAGGCAGCTCTTCCAACAGAGCCCCGGCCCCTGGCGCTGACACTAACCTGGTTAGGGTGGATGGACGGCCACAATAAAGTTGCCTTTCAATACACTTGGCAAATGATCATCCGGTGTGAGATAAACTAATCTGCCCACCCTGGACATATCTTCATTAACTTCCCTACAGGTCCCTGCCGTGGTTCCCTCCCAGCTCACCCTGGCCTGTGCACTGGAGCTGTGGGTAGAGGCATGGGGGTGGGTAGCGAGAGAAATAGCATCGATTTCCATCCTCCCTGCAGGGAGCACCAGATCCTGGTGTGCGTGCGGCCCTAATTTGATTGGGCCCAATTAGTACATTGCGACGCCCTGAGCCACATGAGGAAGAGACTATAAAGGCAGCTGCCTCGGCCCCAGCCGGGGCACAAAGTGGCCAGCCATGAGCAGCATTGCTGCCGTTGGGGAGAGCTACCAGAAGTTCAACCCCCGTGCCTACCTGCAGAACAACTACATGCCCCCCCGTGCTGATTTCACCTCTGAGGACTGTGTGGTGCCTTGGAAGCTGCGATGTCTCGCTGAGGCCTTTGCTACAGGTGAGTGTTTGAGAGGGGTGGTGGGGCAGGCATGAGCCTATCCCAGTCCTTGCTTTGACCAAGGGCTTTACGAGCATCAATGACCAGGCTGCGCCGGGAGGTGGGACAGTGGGAACATCTCCTTTTTTCCTCATTGGGGAAACTGAAGAACAGACTGGTGACACCACTAAGTCAGTCAAAGAAGTGATGGCTTGCATGGGAATGGGACGCATGAGTCCTGGCTGCCAAACTCATGCTCTAACCTCTGCACCATGTTCCCAATCAGAGCAGGGGTGTAGCATCTAAGTGTTTTGGCTCCTACACTCAGGCTGGAACCATTACACCAGGGGTGTCAAAGGTACAACACACAAACTGGATCCAGCCTGAGGGGATGTCCCATCCAGCCTGCCAGCTTCTGCCAGGCCAGGGAATTTGGGGACAGAGCTAATGGGGGCACCGCCTGCAAAGAAGCCAAGGCCCTGGCACCCTGTTGGACCTGGCCATCAGGAGCAGGGGTGAGCAACAGCTGTACAACACAATCCAGCTCACCCTGCAGCCACCTTGGGCTTCCACCACTTGATCCATCCCTGTTCACCCCACCACCACTTGCTCTGCTGCCACCTCTCCTGGCTCTACAACCTTTGTCCCTTGTCTTGCAGATCTAGCCTACAAGGAGCCTGTGGGAC